GTCTGCTGGTATAGGAGGATTTCTCAGTGCAATCCAAGCGCCACCTGCTGGAGAATCTCTGAGAAATTATTAAAAGTGAGAAACAGCTGGGCACTGGTGACTCCAGCCTAGCTACTCAGGAGGCTGAGATCAGATGATCATGATTCAAAGACAGCCCAGGCTGGAAAGTCGTTAAGATGCTTATCCCCAACTAACCAGCAAGAAACCATTAGTGGAGCTGTAATGCAAATGATAGAATGAGACAAACAAAAAAGCTCAAAGGTAGTGCCAAGGGCCTGAGTTCGAGCCCCAGGACAGCACAAAAAAAATAAAAATAAAAATAAATTGAGAAACTTGGGCGGTACTTCTCTGGAAATCAGGTCTCAAAATCTACATTTTGGCAAGCAACAAGACATCTTAAGAAAAACCATGTGTGACTTATATCGGAGCTTTAATTGTTAGATATAATTAATGCAGCTTTGAGATCAAGAATGCTAAATCTGTACTCTCATGGCTCAGACTGGCTGATAACGATTTTATATATATATATACATTTATATTTATATACATATATATTAATTAGGTTAAGATACATGAAATAGGTACCTTTGTTAAACTGAATCATCTGAATATTTAGCAATAACCTTCCAGTCCATAACTAAATCATTATTACCCAGGTTCTGGTGGCTCTCACCTGTAATCCTAACTCAGAAGGCTGAGACCTGAAGATCATGGTTCAAAGCCAGTTCAGACAGACAAGTTTGTGAGACTCTTATCTCCAATTACATACCAAAAAGCCAGAAGCAGAGCTGTGGCTAAATTGGAAAAGTGTGAGTCTTAAGCAGAAAAAATGAGATGAGAATTTACAGCTTTGAGTTCAAACCCAAGAACCAGCACAGAATATAACAAAATAAATTTACTATTACACTTTAAGGTGGTAATCATGGAAGCAATTTTAAGACTGAAAGGAAATTGCATACATTCATATGACCAGGACTAGAACCATAGCTTTGAATATTTTAACTCAATAATTTTTCTTCTCTTGACTTTCTCTAAAAAAGAAAAACATCTTTACCAGTATCAGGTGGCTTGTTTATCAGCATGGTGTGCATGGCCATAATATTGGGTCCAGTGAAACACTCCACATATTTCAGGATCTAAGAGAAAAGAAAGAACAACTTCATAGGAAATCAGAAGGCTAGCCCAGTGGGAGAAAGTTCAATTATCACATAAGAACCAAGATGGCAGTGGTCTACAAACCAACTGGCATTTTCCAACACTGCCAATAAAGCGTGAAAAGCTCAGGAATTGAATATCATGCTAAATCTCTAACACTCTGAATTAAATGGATTTATGGAGCCAGCTTGAAAGGTAGCCTTTTTTCCCTAAGAGACAAATAAGAGGCAACTAGAAAGGACAAGAGCATGGCTGCTGATAAAGCCACAGAGTTTGGCCAGAGACAAGGCAGAGTCCTCCTTAGAGACTTCAGGAGAAAAGGGAAGATCCCAACAGAAAACAGAACAGTGGCTCAGCAAACTCCTCAAATCAGTGTGGCAAGACCTTAAATGACGTCTACAAACCAGACATAGGGGTGGAAATTGGGGTCACTACGGTGAACAAGGAGAACAGACTCCATGTCTTAAACCCATTGTCCCAATTACTCAGAGACTGAGATCAGGAGGATCCTAATCCAAGACCAGCCTGGGAAAAATGTTAGTGAGACCTGATTTCTACCCATAAAAAGCTGGGTGTGGTGACCACTCTGTTATCCCAGCTATGCTGGGAACCATAAATAAGAGGATCACAATCCAGAGTAGCCAAGAGAGCCACTTCCCTGTGACCTTCTTGTCTGAGGCCTGACATGACATCACAGATGTCTAACTTGCAGTCTTTCTACATTGGTCAACTTGTCTAACAGCAAATGGTGACAATATTCTACAAGTGCTGAATGCAAAGTCTCCTCAAAAAATGATCAAGAAAACATTGATATGGTGGAGCATTACTTTGCCTTGAAGAAGAGACCAGGACACATTGGTATAATGCGATGTTTTGCAATGGTTGACAAGTTACATTGAAATTGATAGAGAAAGATGTCTGGGATCCGCTGTATGTGAAAAAAAAAAAAAACCTGAGGAGCAACAGGTTCCTGTGTCCCCAAAAGAGGGCATATGCAAATAGGTTCATGTACAAGGAATCATTCCTCATAAAGACACGAATACTTTACCTGTGAGTGGGGTTGGGGGTAGAGAAAGTCTTCTGTACTGCATAGATTCTTTTATAGCTATCAATACCCTTTAGCAGTGGTACTGGGGAATGTACTCAGGGCCTCATGCTTTAATAATTCAATTTTATTTGTCACTATCAGGGTTTGAACACAGAGCCTTGTTTGTACTGAGCTTTGTCCACTCACAGCTGATGAGATCTGAGCCACAGCTCCAGCACACAGTGGTAGACTTGAGCTATCCCTCGAGCTCAGTATTTGGCTGGTTAGTTTAGATATGGAGTCTCTCAGACATTTCTTCCCTGGATGTCTTTGAACCATGATCCTCATAGATGTCAGCCTCCTGAGTAGCTAGGATTACAAGTATGATCTATTGGCACCTGGCTGCTTTAGTTATAATTTGAATGGGGTTTTGTGTTTGTGTCCTGGACCAGGATCTCTCTATCTGTGCCTCCAGGTTAGCTGAAAAACACTAGTGAAGGGCTGGGAAGGTGGCTCAGTGGCAGAGCGCTTGCCTTGCATGCATAAGGCCCTGGGTTTGATTCCTCAGTACCACATAAGCAAAAAAAAAAAGCCGGAAGTGGCACTGTGGCTCAAGTGGTAAAGTGCTAGCCTTGAGCTGAAGAGCTGAGGAACAGTGCCCAGGCCCAGAGTTCAGGCCCCACAACCGGAAAAAAAAAATCACTAGTGAAAAATACCACACTCCAATGATTAGTTGAGATAGGATCTTGATAACTTTTTGTCTTGCTGGACTTGTGCCTAGATCCTCCCAATCTCTGCCTCCAGAGTATCTGGGTGTGATTATGGGTGTGAGTCACCATGTTCTGCTGCAATACAGAAAGAGGGGGAGGCTTTGTTATTATTGTTAGTATTAGAAAGCTTGGCTCCAGTGGCTCACACCGTAATCCTAGCTATTCTCAGGAGGCTGAGAGGTGAAGATGGAAGTTCTAAATCAGGCCAGGCCCGAGTGTCCATGAGACTCTTAACCTTCAACTAACCACCGAAAAGCCAGAAGTAGAGCTGTGGCTAAAGTGCCAAGAGTGTTGCCCTTAAGCAAAAAGCTCAGGAACAGCTCTGAGTTCAAGTCCCTGAACACTGGGAGAATGCTTGTCTAACATGGACAATGCCTGAGCTCAACTCCCAATATGAAACATAATTTTTTTCTTTTCAATTCCCTTCTTTTTGATCGTTTCCTTTTATTATTGATCCCAAGACTGGGTCTTGAACTTGGTTTCTGATACTTTTGCTCACTGGACTAGCACTCTACCAACTGAATCACAATTCAACCCAAGAAATTTTTTTAACAAACTAAATTTAAAAACAAAAGTACATTGGGCATGATGACACATGCCCATAATTGCAGCTAGTCAGAAAGCAGAGGCAGGAAGAACAACAGACTAAGGCCAGCCGGGATTAAGATAGTGAGAGCCTATCACAAAACACAGGGGCCTAGGGACGTGACTCAGGTGGTAGAGCATGTAACTAGCATGTGTGAGGTTCTGTTTGCAAACCCTAGTACCACAAAAACAAAGAAGATGCATGGATGGAGCCCATGGAGCATCTTGGGACACAGAGCCCCTGCATGGCCAGAGGGGGCTGAGGGGAAGGAGCAGAGCGCCCACTGTCACCTGGGGAAGTGTGCAGTATCTGAAGAGCTCTGGGTCTTCTTGGAAATCCTGAATCTTCGTGACCACTTTCTCACTTGGAGCAAGTTGCAACTTTGAAATGGACACATCCTTCATTACTATCAATCCATCCTGCTTCACTTCTTTCCTACAGATTTTTCCAAATTCATCCCTAGAAAGTTAAATTTACCAAAGATGTCATGAGTGAGGGTTGCAAGCTCTCTGCTCAGTGCCCCACCCTGGGGAAAGCTGTGTGGGTTCAGGGTGGCTTCTATCTCCTGGAGCCCTACTTGGAATTCTCCTGGGATGGAGGAGAAAATAGCAGGATCAAAAATGTTAGCTGGAAGCCAGGAACTGGTGGCTCACACCTCGGTCATCTTTGCTACTCAGGATGCTGAGATCTGGGGAGTGTGGCTCCAAGCCAGCATGGGGAGGAAGTCTGTGACTCTTATCTCCAATTAACCACCAAAAGCTGGAACTGGAGCTCTGGCTGAAATGGTACAGTGCTAACCTTGAACAAAGAAGCTCAGGGAGAGTCCAAGGCTCATGCCTAGACTCCTAACTACTCAGGACACTGAGATCAGAGGATTGCAGGTCAAAGCCAGCCCAGGCAAGAAAGTCCACAAGACTCTTATCTCCAATAAACCACCAAAAAAGCTGGAAATGTAGTTGAGGCTGAAGTGGTAGAGCACTAACCTTGAACAAAATAAACTCAGGGACTGTGCTCAGGCCCTAAGTTTAAGCCCTAGAACTGCAAAGAGAAAAAAAAAAGAAAGGAAGGAAGGAAGGAAGGAAGGAAGAAAGAAAGGAAGGAAGGAAGGAAGAAAAGAAGGAAGGAAGGAAAGAAGGAAGGAAAAGAAAGCAAAGTTCAAGGAAAGTACCCATGCCTTGAGTTCAAGTCCTAAAAACAAAACAAAAAAAAACAAATCTGAACCTGCAGAGGACAATTTGCATTGCATACACAAGTGTAATCCACATGGTTGTCAAAGTACTACTATACCTGAAGCGCTGGATATCCTCATCAGATATCAGATTTTTAATGACAAGAAAACCATTTTCTTCATAAAATTGTCTCTGCTCCAGGCTGAGGATGCTGTTATCCAAAGTAAACCTAAATGACAAGAAAGTCCCACCAAATAAACTCAAATTTCAAAGTACAAGTTAACAAGATGTACCACAAACTTGACACATGTTCAGGGGTGTTTTTTTAGGGGAGGGGAGTCAGTCATAGGGCTTGAATTCAGGGCTTGGGTGCTGTCCTTGAGCTTTTTTTGCCCAAGGTAGTACTATCACTTGAGTCACAGCTCCACTTCTGGCTTTGCAGGGGGGTAGTTAATTGGAGATAGTACTCTCATACTTTACTGCCCGGGCTGGTTTTGAAACTCCATCCTCTGATTTCAGCTTCTTGAGTAGCTAGAATTGCAGGGGTGAGGCACCGGTACCCAGTCCCTGTTTGCTTTTGAATCAAGCATTTCTATTATTATGGTTTTAAGGAAATAATCTGGAAAAGTTTATAAAATTTTAAGTTCCACTGGATGGTACTCAAGAGGCTGAGATCTGAGGATCATGGTTAAAAGCCATTTCAGCAGGAAAGTCCGAGAGACTCTTATATCCAATAAACCACTAGAAAACTGGAAGTGGTGTTGTAGCTTAAGTGGTAGAGTGTTTGCCTTGAGCTGAAGAGCTGAGGGATAGACCCCAAGCCCAGAGTTCAAACCCCAGGAAAAAAAAATGTGTTTTTTTTTTTTAAGTTTAAAATGTTGACTAGGACTGGGAAGGTGGCTCACTGGTAGAATGCTTGCCTTGCATGCATGAGGCCCTGAGTTGGATTCTTCAGCACCACATAAGCAGAAAAAGTTGAAAGTTGTGCTGTGGCTCAAGAGGTAAAGTGCTAGCCTTGAGATGAATAGCGGAGGGACAGTGCCAAGGCTCAGAGTTCAGGTCCCACAACCGACAAAAAAAAAGAAAAAAAAAGGAAAAAACTAAAGAAAAGAAAAAAAAAGAAAGAAAAAGAGAAAGCAAAAAAACAAAGTTGAGGGCTGGGAAGGTGGCTCAGTGGTAGAGCACTTGCCTTGCATGCATGAGGCCCTGGGTTCGATTCCTCAGCAACACATAAGCTGAAAAAAAAGAAGCTGGAAGTGGCGCTGTAGCTCAAGTGGTAGAGTGCTAGCCTTGAGCTGAAGAGCTGAGGGACAGCGTCCAGGCCCAGTGTTCAGGCCCTCCACCGGACCCCCCCCAAAAAAAAAAAACCAAAGTTGACTATGATCATCAAAAAAATGTACAGTAACGGAAGAAATTTTAATTAAAGACA